CAGAAAACACCCACAAAAAGGGGATTTTAAGGTGATTTATTCCTGCTGGCCCCAGACTTCCTACACTGGTTCTCCTGGAAGTGCTGGGGTAGGGAAGGCAATTGATTTTGTTGTCAGTTTCAGCAAACCATCATCCTTTGTGGGAGGTACAACTAGCTCTCTAACCCAGGCATGACAGGAGAACCCCAAACTTTGTGAAATGGTTAAAAAATGGTTAGCAACCAACACTGGTATTCAGAAGGACAAGGTAGAGGAGAAAGCCAGTGCATATAGCACAGAACATTGGACCAGTAGTCACAAGACCTGGGGTCTGCTACTAGCTGTGTGACCTTGGGCAAGTGCCTTCCCCTCTCTGAATGAGGGAGTGGGACTAGATGACCTTTTCAAGCTCTGACAGTCCAGCTCTCTGACAATTTAAAGGTTTCTTAGAATGGATATCTACCCATTGCTACATCATCCCAAATGGGATTATTGCCTAACCTAGTTAGAAAAGGTGACTTCCTGGTAGTGACTGCTTGAAAAACTACATCCAAATGTGGAAAGATCACAGAATTTGGAGTCAGAGGAACTGATTCTTACAAGCTGTGTAACATTTGGGCAAGTTCCCCCTCTTTGTGCCTTAGTTTCCTCATCTGTAAAATGATGGGGTTCAACTGGGGTCTTAAGGTCCCTTCTACCTCTATGTTCGATTCTATGACCATCTTCAATGCCCTCTCTATGAAGCTAAAGGGTAGGGAAGGCACCTAGGATCAGCTGAACAGATAAACCACTTGGATTCCTATGTACCCATTTAAAGAAGTATTGGCTTTAGATCTCAATCAAAAGGCCTCACACTTGTATGGCACTTAAGTGCTTTTACCCACTATTGACGTTAATCTTCAAGTTAGAAAGAGACCTTAAAAGTCATCTTCTTTTATAGGTAAGGAAACTGAGGCTTGGGGAAAAGTGCCTCACATATAGGAAGTGGGAGAAATAGGATTTGAACTCAGGACTTTTGACTCCAGATCTAGTATTTTCCTTCCACTGCAGCATGCTTCCCATGCTATAAACGTAGACTGAGAAACTGAGGCCCAGCATGAAGTAATTTGTCCAAGGTCACACAGGGAGTCAGTGGCAGAGTAGAAACAAATCTGGGTCTTGCACCTCCTAGGCCAGGAAGAGTTCTTCTGACAGGGTGACCTGATTAAGGAACGTTTTGAGGTTTGCACCATATTTGTCAACTAGCCCTATGCGTTACCTTTCCAACAAAACAAGATTATATCAATAGGAAAAGTTACCCAATGAAATCGTTTTGGTTTTGGTTTGTTTGTTTTTTCAAGTGTGGTTTTTAAAAACAGACAGAAACATCGACTTTGGGGAGTAATAAGAACAGCCAGAATGGAGGAGGAGCTAGAATGACCAAGGCAAAAGGACAGCCTTCATTCAAAACCCCTGAAAAAGTGCTCCTGGGGTTATTTTTGTCTTTTAAAATCCATTTCACAGATCTCAGTGGGTTTATAATAACATAAACACATCCTGACAATGCTACTTAACAACAGTAATGACTCACATTTAAGGTTCACAAAGCACTTTATATACATCGCCTCCTTTGAGCCTCAGGACAACTCCGTGAAGTGGGTACTCTTATCTCCATTTCACAAATGAGAAACTGAGGCTCACAGGGATTTGTGACTTACCCTTTGGTCACATAGTTACTAGTGTCAGAGGTGAAATCTGAACGTAGGTCTTCCTGACTCCAAGACCAGTAGTCTTCTGGCCTTTAGACCTTTCTAGCAACTTGCTTTTATGCCTGAACAAATTCTCTCAAGTCTTAGAAATGCAAATATTTGCAATGTTATTCCATAAATGAGATCAAGTCAGTGTGGTTGCTACCAACGGTTTTGCAGGATACAATTTCATTTGTATCCATTTGCCTCTTCGTTCCCAATTGGCTAGACTGGCCCTGCTTTAGAAAGAGAAAAGAACAGGCAGATATAGCTACACATTTCTGAAGTGGGTCCAGAAAATTTTCTTTGAGAACTCATTCAATGAAAGTGTACAAACAGGCATTAAAAGAGGAATGTCATTTCATAAAGAGCTACTCAACTCTACGTTGGGACAAGCATAACCCAAATGCAATGCGGACATTAAGCTTTGGGCTCCAAAAGGAGATGGAAGAGAAAGCTAACACTAATATTTTTATTAGACAATCCTGTTTGGGAGCAGACGCCAATTTCCGCATTCAAAACTATGAATGCGGATTCTCATGGCCTGCTTTCAACATACTGTTAACCTATTTAGAAAGCAACCAGCTATGCACTTCTGGGCTATACTGGAAGAAGACAGAAAAACAGAAGGCTTAATAAACCCTGGCCATTAGTGTCAGACTAAATCACTTGACCCCACAGCTCAAAAATACTCAGCCCATAAACCCCAAATGCTAATAAGACAGACATCTTTCCTCAATCCAGTCAGTCTCTTTTCCCTGAGTCCTAAAGAACACAGGCTGGGGCCTCATTGTAAAAGCATGTGTCATTAGGCACGCCTCACTGGGGCTCCTGATATTTCAATAAAGGAGGAGGAGGAGGGAGCTAGTTTAAGAAAAGTGGCCCAAGTCTTGCTTCAGGCCTGTTCTGTGTCAGGTCACTGCTCCTGTTTGCTTGTGCTGAGCTAAGCTTCAGTTAACAAAGTGAACTTGAGATGTTCTCAAGTGTACGTGATCTGCTGTGTATCATCACTGCTGGATGCTACTCTGTCTGCTTAGGCTGGCCTCTTCTATGCTGTCAGGTAAGCTATTTCAAAGCAGAAAAAAAAAAAGTCACAATCAGGATCCGAACTCCCTCCACACCTTCAATGGCACTGTTGGCTCAGATTTCTTGAAAGATAAATATTTAACTCCAGATTTTCAATCAAACACAAACATATTTCTGGGGTTGAAGATTAAACCTGCTTGAGCTAGCAAAAAACAATATCAGCGCTGTGTGCTTCACGGTGGATAGTGTGAGATCTTGGAAGAGTACTGGGATGTGCTAGAAGACCTAAGTTTGAATTCTGAATCTAACACTTACTACCTGGGTGAATTTGAATATGTCCTTTCCCTACTCTGGGCCTTGTTTTCTGGATTTATAAAATGAAGGGGTTGGGCTATGTGATCTTTGAGGTCCCTTGGGGCTCTGACACTCTACGGTCCTATGACTCATTTGACTGACTTCAGAGCTGTAGACTCTCAGAAGTTTTATCCCTTGTTTTCCTTCTGTCATATACCCAGATGACTAGGAATTAAGGGCATACCCGTAGAAAGCTCCTAGGGCAAAATTTGACATGAATTCATCAACTGAGTCAATCATTCTCATTCATTCATTCTGCCTATGTCTCTCCTACCCTTCTGATTTTGTTCTCTCTGCCTCTATCACTTTCCGTTTGTCCATGTAGCTCAGAGCTGTAGAGTGGGTATAATAAAAGACATGATCTGCTCATTATATGCCTCAGTTCAATTGAGGGATCGTCACATCCCCTCAGCTGGCTAACTTTGGCATATCCAAACAATAATGTCCTGATACATCTTTACCTTTAAAATGGTAGAGAAGTCTCGGGAGGTCTATGAAATTCATTTCATATTCATTTAAGAAATGCATCACGTTATCAGATTGTATCTTGGCTGGCTTTCACTTGGGCATTGGAAGTTATCGGATTCGACCTTCTGTGTCTGAGACTCTGCTAGCCATTAAAATATAACCTAGCTCTCAAATGATTATGGGCTTATACTCAAGACTCAGGCTAAAGCCAAGGAAAGTACTAGAGCTCAGCTGTGCGGGAGGAATCTGTGCTGTCAACATGTCCAATTGCAGGAGCTTACTGCTACCTAGGCAACCGAATCTTTCTGAGGACCCTCACTGAGCTGTGCAACTGAGGTACACACACACACACACAAAAAATCTGACCAGCATGGCCCTGCCCGCCAGCAATTTATCTTTCCCCTCATCCACTTGATTGGTAAAGTTGTACTAAGGAGATGACCCTAAATATGAATAGGAAGACAGAAAAGTATAGGAGACTAGTCTAAGAAAATGCTGTGAAAACCAAGGTCCCTAGGGGTGTGGAAAAAGACACCAGGACCAGTGGATTTGAAGACTGAGGAGCACCAAGACTTTAAAATGACCTGTTGCCTCAACTGAGATAGCACAAATGACAAGTTTATTTGGAGGAGCAACTAGAGGGGAAGGGGAAGATGAAGTTGAAGCAGTTTTAAAAGGAGGTTTTAGAACGAATCTAGAACAAGAAGCTTAAAATCGAGGGCAGGAGCGACACATGCTGAAAAGGAGTGTTGAGTTCGAATGAGAGAGACCCAAGGATGCTTTGAAATGACAGAAATGGAGCAACGGCCACATGGCAACATATGGTTAAAGACTGGATTGACGGAGTGGGACAGTCTTGAGGAGTCAAGAGGGGGAGAGAAAAGCTTGAGATGTCAGTTTTAAGTGACGGGAAGCAAGTTCTGGATTGGTAAGATGAAAGATCAGGATGATACAAAGGCTGTGAAGGTGATGGAACAGAGGGGAGAAGTCAGGAGAGCTTTGAGGTACTCTCAATAGCTATAGAAGACACTCTTCCTTAAACCTGTGTGTGTGTGCTGTGTTAATGGTGTTAGGTATGGAAATTCAAAACTTCTTTATATGTGGTATGTACTTGTGTGTACTCGTGTCAGATATGAAGACACAGAACCCAACAACTACTTTTTTCACTGAGTTAAAAGAAAAAAAAACCCTAGGGATGTCAATTTGGTGCCCAATGAAGTCTTGTCTCCAGAATAAGCATTTCTGATTTTTTCTTATTGAAAATCTGCATTGCCACTAAGAACGTATTCCAGTTTTTCAAATATGTTTTAGTGTGCTTTTAAAGCCCTTGACTTTTCGTAAGGTTCTGAATCATACGATTTTAATGACTGACTTTATCTTCACATCATTTTCTGTCAGATTTAGGGATTTACAAAGCAAACAAGCCAGTTAAACAAAGCTAATTACATTCACCAGCGACATCCTTGCTTTTCCCCCTCAGTGCCCGGTGATTTCGGCTCCTGGTGCTCTGATAGCTGCTGACAGCTTGCTGGGACAGAAGAAGGAAGTAGGTCAGAGTAAGCCAGGGTCAGCAACAGAGAATCCCATTAGACAGGCTTAGAGGGCAATCCTGAAATCGAGGAAGTGTGTGATGTAGTGACAACGTCCCAGACACATAACAGCCAGCCTCGGGACAGCCTCCGGCAGAACTTGTACACTTATCGGCGAGTCATTATAATGACCCCAGATAGAGCTTCTCCAGTTGATTTGTGATTCCTAAGAGGTTCTGCAGAAACCAAATGACAAAAATGGACTTGCAGTTAGCAAGATTATTCCAGACCACAGGCAATATACCATGAGCTACTCTTACAATGTGACCCTCTAGCTTACAATGCAGGCCTAGTTTCAGGGCGGGGGGGAGGGGGAGCAATATCTTAATATCTACAAAACACAGGCTGGGGATGGGGAGGAGGGGCAAGGGGAGGGAGGGAGTGGGGGCAGCTATTCAGTTCAATTCAATAAACATTCATTAAGGGCCTACTATGTGTAAGACATTGGGGCTACAAGGCAAAAATGAAAAGGTACTTGCCCTCAAGGATTTCATGGGCTATCACTGATTTTTTTTTAAACCAAACTGAACCAAACCCGAACCAGTGAGAGTATACAAAGGAATACATAACAATGTTCATTTTTGCAAGTTTGTAGCTCAGATTGAAATAAGACATTTTGTAGGGGATGGTAAAGCGGGTGTGGTATCTTGGATAAAGTGATGGACTTAGAGTTAATGAGATCTGGAGTTCTTTCAGTAGAGATTTCTGTCAAGGTGAGTCATTTTAGAAATCTAGACAGATTGGGGTTTCAGCCTGGGGGTTGGAGGCCCCCTGTATGCTCAGCAGCATCCAATTCCTCCAAGGAGGCTGTGGCATTTTCACCTTTAAATGGGAATAGTGGTCCTGGCAATATGGTCTTTGACACCTCTAAGACAGCCAATGTATAGCAATAACATTATCAAGGTCCAAACTGTTGATTCCTTCTGGGGGAAAGGATGATATAAAACAAAAGGGACAACCAACTTCCAGGTTGGGCAAAAAAAATAATCTGGGTGAATGATGTTGGAATAGAAAACATCCCCACCCCCAGAAGGTTTAAGAAAATGCCTTCTCACGTCAAAGCACAGGTACCCTTGGAGCAGACATTGACAAGGAAGCCCATAATTTTCTTAGGACTTTTTAGTGGAAACTTCCGCACAACCAAGAATCTAACTAAATTTTCAGTCTCCAAGAGACTGGTTCCTTTCGTTGTCTTATCATATTCTATTTCTTCATAAGAAGAAATTGGAATGAAGCATTTGCTCATGTATCTGCTTGTTCATGTAACCTCCAAAGAACCTTTAGGTTGGTGAGAGCTGCATACCCAGCAGCCTAAATTTATACTGGATTTGCTGGGTTGGGAGGAAGGGAAAGCCCTGAACCTCGGCTGTCTGGGGGTGCCTGAGCCAGGGCTCCCAAAACACACAGTTCAAGTTGCTCTGCCAATCATACCCATCAAACCGTTTCTATTTCAATCACAGGGAGCAATTTCTCTGGATTGAACAGTGTTCATTTTTGCAAGTTTGTAGCTCAGATTGAAATAAGACATTTTGTAGGGGGTAGTAAAGCGGGTATGGTATCTTGGATAAAGTGATGGACTTAGAGTGAATGAGATCTGGAGTTCAAGCTTTGACTCTGACTGTTGCTGGGCAACCACTAGCAAGTCATGAACCTCTCTGGGCCTCAGCTCCTCACTATAGATAGATGACGTATTGACCCTAGCTTGGAAAATAGATATGTATTGACAGGATTCGTTGGAAGCTACTGTGAATACAAACACAAACAAAAAGATATCATTATTTTCTTTGGGTTTGAAGGCCATGCAGATAGTCATTTCATTGGGAGTGCACAAATCAATGGATGTTTCAGAAACAAAGGCATTTGGCCTAGTAAAGTAGTTTGGATTATTTTAGAATGTTCATTTTATTTCCTGTACTTGCAAAAGCCAAATCACAACTTGGCAGGACCCAGAACATCCCTACCCCTTGTCCTTGCAGGAGAATAACAATAGTGAGTCAGGCACTCATAGAACTCTCTGCTTTTCTCTTCAAAGTCCTTTGCAAACATTCAATAATCAATTCATGAAAAGTCTTCCATAGCGTCCAAGCTACCTTTTTAGCCTCGTCTCCCATCATTCCCCTTCCAGCGCTCTGGGACGCAGCTCAAGTGAACTGCTCCTGCTTTCCCAATTCTGTTCTGTGTGCGAGTCTTTCACTTCTGTGCCTGGAAGGGACTTCCCCTACATCCCGCCCCATATCGTTCCTCTTAGTCTTTTAAGGCCCAGCTCGGATGCTACCTTCTCCACCAAGCCTTCCATGACCCTCTCCCTTCCTAATCTTCCAGCCCACTCCATTCTAACCTTCTTACACTTGTCTCATTGGAACTTGCATTATGCTCATTTCTATTAATGCCTTGTTCCACTCCTCCCCCAACCTCAAATGAGATTATAAATATGACCTTGGGCAAATTACTGGGCTTCATTTTTTTTTTCACCTGTAAAATAGGGACACTGGATGGTAAGGGAACTTGAGATCATGCCATCTGAGTATCAGCTGAAGGAAATGGGACTATTTAGCCTGGAGAAGAAAAGGCTCAGAGTACAAGACGGCTGTTTTGAAGAATTTGAAGGGCTAGCATGTATACAAGGGATTAGACTTTTTCTGTTTTGTCCCAGAGGGCATATCTAGGAACAGTGAGTATCTTTTTTTTTTTAGGCAATTGGGGTTAAGTGATTTGCCCAGGGTCACACAGCTAGTAAGTGTCAAGTGTTTGGTCTGAGGCCGGATTTGAACTCAGGGTCCTCCTGACTTCAGGGCCGGTGCTCTATCCACTGTGCCACCTAGCTGCCCCGAGTTTCATTTTAAAAGAAGCAAATTTCTGCCTGAAGTGAAGACAGCTAGGTGGTACTGCAGTGGCTAGAACTCCAAGCCTGGAGTGAGGAAGACTCATCTTCATGAGTTCAAATCCAGCCTCAGACACTGGGCAAGTCACTTCACTCTGTTTGCCTCAGTTTCCTCATCTGTAAAATGAGCTGGAGAAGGAAATGGCAAACCACTTCAGTATCTTTGCCAAGAAAAGCCCAAATGGGGTCACGGACACAACTGAACAACAGCAAAAGTGAACTGGGTTGATCTAGAAGGAGGTAAGTTCCCTCTCATTCAACAGAATCTGGGTGACTGTATTCAGAATGTGGTAGCAGGGATTATTCTGGCACAAGTGTTGATCTACATGATGTCTGAAGTCTCTTCCAACTTAGAAATTCTGAGATTTTTGTGATTAACCATCTCTAAGAACACCTTAGACTCAGCTATAGATTGATGATTCCGTGATTTTATATATACATATTTTTTATTCTTTTCCAAAGGCTTGTTAAAATGTTGATATCGGGCAATCTCCCCAAGTGAGGGGTGGTGAGGGTGTACCTAAGTTAGGTTCAAACCCTAAGGAGGCAGTACAATTCTAGATCTCACTCAAGGGTTAGTACCATGATTATAGTCATTCTAACATGCAACTTTGAGTCTGGCTTTCCCGAGTCTACCCACTGATACACTTGGTGGCCCAAGCCAGTGTGCTGCACTATTGATGCCAAGCAGCCTTACCCCCCCCTCCAGGTAAGCAGGCAATAAGCATTGTTCCCAAGACATCTAGCTGATGAAAAGGCAAAGTTAAAAATACATGGTACAAACTAGAACAAGTACTCCACAGTGCCCTTGGCCACAGGGAAAAACGGAAGCTCCCACGGCACTAAAATCTAAAATAAAAATCAATGTCATCTGCATGTAACTGAGTACTCTAAAGACAAACTGACTGTCTGATGGCTCAGAGGACCCTCTACCATGGCCTTCATTCCTTGACCAAAATGTTTTTCATAATCTTGCCTAAGTTATTTCACTTAATGCCACCATGAAACTTCCTTTTCCCATTATCTGTGACCACAAAGGGACCATATTTCAAAGTTTCAGGGCAACCTATGTCAATGGCTTAGTGATGCAACCTCCATAGCCCATTTCCCAAATTGGGTTATGAGCCATGTGAACAGGGGTTCCATGAGAACCCACTACTGCAGACAACTTTCTCAGCTAGAAAACACTAACTATTCAGTGACATGGGAACAATGGTTATTATATGCAACAATTTTTTGCTTTTTTTTTTTGTTGTAGTTGCTCCAAAGTTCCCCTGCCCTGCCCCACCCCACCCTACCCACTGTTCTTTATCTTGGAGGTGTTCTCTAGCTCCAGATTTCCTCACAGATTCCTGGGTTCCACAGATATTTTTCAAGCCCCAAAGTCTTCTATGACCAGACCAGTTGGGGAAAAAACTGCAGCAGAGGATCTCTCTAAGGTCCCTTCCAACTCTGAAGCCTAGCTCCTATGATAAAGAGGTCAGAGAGTTCTGGGGAAAAGCACCTTGTCAAATTCAGTAGTCCCTCTCACGTGACTGTCGTCACCTCAAGCTTTCAGATATTCCTCAGTACCTGCCTTCCCATTGAGGAGGGAGAAAGAGGGGCAAAAACCTGATTTTGAAGTAGCTTATTCATGTTAACCAAGATGCGCAGTCCACTGGCTTTCTCCTTCTTTCTTTGCCTTTCGAGCAAGAATTTCAGGCCAAACTGCCTCCAAGTTTCATGGTCCAAATTTAGCCGGTCAATTGCTAATGCAAAGGGGAATTCACGGTAGCCAGAGGGTTTTCCTTACCTAAAACTGAGATCTCGGTAAGACTGGAGAGACAGGCCCAATTCTCAGAGATAAGGGGGCAGAGAAGCTCCACAAAACTGCCTTAGTCTTAAGGTATTTATAGATCGGATGAACCTAACCAGCGGCAAGATCCAATTTGTTTGAATCACAAAGAATGCTTCCCCTGCCCCACCCCCCAAATCAAGCTACCTTTGATAGCGCTCTCAGATGTAGTAGGGGCTCCTGCAAGCAGCAGAGGAAATAGCAAAAAAGCCACAATTGTGCAAGAACACCGGGACTCTCCCATGGGGGGTTACTACTGCTTGCCTAGCTTGTCTCCCAGGGCGGCTGTGAAGAAACTGCTCTGTAAACCATAAAACACTTAAAAAAAAAATCAGTATTCTGAAGCAGCAGGAGCAGGGCATGCTAGAGAAAAAGTAAAAAACAGCGAACACCTAAAGAAGAATACTATGTTCGGTGGGTCATAAGGATGCCCCCAAGGAAGGTGGGCATCTAGGGATGTT